TGGGTGGGGTGAGACAGACACCCAGCTTCCTCAGGAGCTATTGGGGTGATGGTTGACTCTGCACACAGGGTCCCCAGCAGGACTGTCCCATAACTGTCCACAGTGATGACGTGCCTGGTAACACACTGCTTCCTGGCTTCCTTCCCTCCCTGAGTCACTTCCCCGTTCGCTTACTGGCATTTCCTGAGATCTCCTCCCAAATAAACTACTTACACTCACATTCTTGTTACAGGGTCTGGGGCACACAACCCTAGGCAGACGATCACACAGCAGAATTATTTACTCAAACCAGGTCTGTGGCTCCGCCTCAGACTGCTTCCCAGGGGAAGGGCTGTGAGGCTGGACACCTCAGGATCTCCTTGATTGCGTCAAACATCTTTTCTCAGAAACGTCTTTATTTCCTGGCTTAAGCACAACTTGCTCTTCTTTCCAGCTTCCCTTCACTGCCTTTCCCCACAATCTCTGCACTGAGGGAAGCTGCCCCCTCCCCGGCCAGCAGCCACTCTTCATTCCTCCCAGAAGCCTTGCTTGACTCTCTTTCCAGCTCTGCGCCACTCAGAGGGCAAGCCTCTGGGACGCAATCTCTTCCTCTGGAAGGTGGCATCTGGCACACAGCTGCTGCTCTGATTGCCTTTCCAGGTTCCCAGAGATGCTGACAGTTTGCCCTGAGGCGGCACCCCCAAGTTTTTGTATCTGCCTTCCAAATCAGACTGCCCCCCAGCCCAGGGACATCAGTGCCCAGCCCTAGTCTCCCCCATCCTGCTCTCCTACCTTCTAGTTCTCCCTCCCTTCCCTTTCTCTCTGGTTTATTTGCACTTTCTGCCTGTCTCCCAAGTGTGCAGCAGCTGACAACATTCTCCGGAGCCACTCTGGGGGCTGTGTCTCTTCTTGTTAAATACTTGCTCAGCTGGCTGCTGTGTGTCAGTTTCTGTTCCAAAGCCTCAATGGTGAGGGAACTGGAAGTCGGTTTGCCTGTGGGCTGGTTGTGGCTGGGATGACGTGAACACCGAGCCTGCTGCACGCCAGAGGAAGCCTGAAAGGGGCCAGCCTTCATCGGCCTCCCACACACACGCACACACACACACACTCACGCACACGCATGCACACACACACACACACACACACACACACACACACACACACACTGCACGAACACCAAACACACCAAAACCATGGACAGATTTCTTTGTAAGAGAGCCAGACTCCGGTGTGTCCTCGCTGAAGGGCAATTTCATGACTTTTCTCCTTCTTTACAGAAGAGTAACACATTAATCACCTCCTTCCTTCTTGTTCCCTCTTCAAACAACTCTGAAAAGACCTGTTTTCTTTTGTATTTCTTTGTATTTTCAGATGACCCAAGTGTCTGAAACATACACTTGGTCATGATCTACCCCTAACTTGCTTTAGTTTGCTTCCTAAAATCATCATATCCACCCCTCCTGCCCATGCGGAACCTTGCTACAGAATGTAACCCCTTGGGGTCCCATCAGCAGAGATCCACCCCGAGGAGGCAGGAAAGCCACTCCCTGACACTCTCAGAAGTGAGGCCATTACTGAATAATCCTCAAGTGTGGGATCACTGCCCAGGTGCTTTCAGAGCAGCTTTGAGTCAGAGGCTTGGAGGCAGCAACCTGACTACCCATCCCTAATAATAATAATAATAATAATAAAAACAATAACAATAATAATAATATTAATAACGCAGTCAGAGCTGCCTTTTACTAAACATGTTCTCCGCTCGTCAGGTCAGCACTTTCCTAGGAAGGGCTGGGCCTGGGGGCCAGAGTCAGACAGCAGGGCTGATTCCTGGCTGCAAACTTCCCCACTTCCTGAAGCCTCAGTTTTCTCATCTGTAATATGGACCTGACACCAGTACGTATTGGAAGAGTCCTGGGTAGACTGAATGAGCTGCTTCATGAAGCACATGCTAAAGTCATGGGAGCTGCTATTCCTTTGGTTTTTCTTTGTGACAAAACCTACTTCAACCAGAAAGCCTTTCCCTTCTGACCACTCTCTTCAATCATTTGAACCCCTCCTTGGGGAGAGTCTGCACTACCAAGCTGCCCAGGAGGCTTCAGAAGGGTGCTGCTAGCCAGTGTGCTCTCTCGCTGACAGGGGAGGCTTCTCCTGTGCAGCGTGTACCTTTCTCTAGCTTCTCCTGTGAGCTCTGCACAGGGGAGGGTAACTCAAGAGGGTGCTGAGAGTCTTACCCTTCCTTCCAGAGCAGACCTCACCCTGCCCGGCTGGCCCCAGTCACACCCCCTTAGCCGATGCCGGTGTCCAGCTCCCTGTGCCCGCTGCCTCACCCTCCTGCAGCACTAACCCAAGCTAACCATGGCTTGCCTGTGTGAAGTCTGTTTCAGTGTTCCAGTGCCAGCAAATGGCATGGGACACGGCCCAGAGCAGGGACCTACCAGATGTTCAGGATGATGAATGTGGCTGTGCTGTGTGATGAGGCGAGAGAGTCAAGCAAGGTGGGGCTGAGTGTCTGTGAGGAGCTGGGGCTACACCGTGAGAGCGTGCAGGCACTCTGAGGCCAGAAAGCTGGCCTTTCACACTTTCCTGCAAGATGTCCTGATGCTTTATATCCTACTCTACCCAGTTAGACATTCTGCTACTCGAAATGGGTTGGACGGAATGTTAGTTGACCTATGTTGCAAAATAAAATATCAACCTAAATCATCTTATTCCACATTTCCTTTTGTGAAAGGATACCATCAATGAGAAATAGTAACTGCATATGTTGTATTTGCCATGACAGAAAAGAAGCTTAAGGAAAGCTCTTTGACATCCTGCCCTCTTTCTTAGACCATGTAAAGTAACACCTACCATCAACTAGGGGAAATAGCATTGATTTCATTTGTAGGGTAAGAAATGTGTCTGCACATGCACATTTTTAAAAAGTGAAGGAGACATCTCTACAGTCTATTTTGGAGAGACTGCTATAGATGGAAGTGTTCCTAAGGTTAAATAGCTGTCACCAGAGGTAATAAAACCACAGTAAAGAAAGTAGAACAGCTAATTACAAAGCAAATGCAAAATTAAATTAACTATCCCCAAAGTCAAAGTCAAAAAGTGAAGGAGAAAAAAATAAAAGTCTGTTTCATCAGGAGACTGCAAGCTTCTTGAGGGCAAGACTTGTCTTTGCATCTGTGTTTCTAGCGGGGAACACATCTATTTTCAGGCTTTGTGTACCTTCCAAAGGACTCTACATATACAAGAAAAGACTCTGAAATGAAGAGTAGGCCAAGACACCATCTCTGAGGTTTTAAGATGTGCCCAAAAAACCAAAACCAAAAAAAAAAAAATGTTTTTAAAAGAAGGCAAACAGAAGGGCTTAATTGGCAAGTTCACATACTAAATCAAGTGAAGGGCTTTCTGTTGGACAAAAGTGAGGACAGATAAATAATGCTGAGTTTTGCAGCCTGAGAGGAGATGGGAGAAACAGGACTGTGGGCTTAAGATCAAACAAAATGAGAACCAGGATGGCCTCTTTCCGGTTCCCTAAAAGCCTTCTGTTCTTATCCTAAAGGTTATGAAAAGTTTTTCTGAGACTAGTTGAGCAAATGAGATCCTGTTCCTTCCTTGGGAAAACTTGTTTATACTGTATCTGTTTTTAGACCTCGTTAAACTTGGTGAACTCAGTTCTTCCCCATTAGCTGGGGATTCTTCCATACTCAGCAAATAATCAACAGGAAAGAGCTTCAGTCATCGATAACAATGAAAGCCAGAAGCTCACATGGGGCCTTAATAAGCTGGCTCCACTGACAGAGGGAAAGATAGAGACGATCTTCCCCGCATGTTTATAGAATAATGGGTTTGAACGGATAGGAGAGATACCGAAATCTAGGTAAATGTAGTCTGACAGTGACAACAGATTGTCTCTTACACAACTCATACCAGTTTAAGGATTCATTTTGGAACTGTCAAAGCTTTCAAGCAGAAAATTATTCTTAGTGGCTGAAACCTGGTTAAACAAATTTCACTGTGTAAGGAAAAACTTTTGGAAGTGCTGTGGGGAAGAAATCTCAGGTGAGAAAGTAGAAAATAACAATGTCAGCTGGGTAGCAAGGACCATCCCCAAGCAGGGAACCAGACAAATAGGTTCCAAGTAGGAAGGGGGTGACCTGGACCCATCCTGGAGAGTCAGTTAAGGAAGCTCTAGATGGGATGAAGAACCACAGCCAGCAGAGGGGCAAACAAATCCACCTTGAGCAAAATGTTAGATAGTTTGGTCTAGTGACTAGAGACATGGCAATCTGAACAACAGAACAAATACCGATAATGCTGGATACCCATAGAATAAAATAAATATGCACACTCCATACTGCTATAAATGAATGATTAAAAGACTAATAACAGGGAGTGGTAGGAGAAAGGGAAACTCTTCGTTCCTGCAGAATAACTACTCATAAATGTAGAAAGGGTAAGAAAAACAGAAAATCATGATCAGACAAACACTACAGGAATAATTATCACTGTAACAACTATTGACAGATCCTAAAATTTGCAGGTAAAATTATGATACGAAACAAGTCTACCAGCTGGAAGATGTGAAAAACATCTTTACTAAATGGGTGGTTAGCATCTTTGGAAACAGGTCAGACTACCTTCCCGCAAGGTATGCATTAATTACAAATGGAAAAAAATTGTATCTTTACAGGGGAGAGATGAGGCAGGCACCTCCTTGACCAAGAGGAACTGCATCACTCCTGTGGCATCTTGTCCAGAATGCATAACCTCAGTCTAATCATGAGAAACCACTATAGAAACTCCAAAATGAGAGACTATCCATAAAATAACTCTTCTGAGTTCTTCACAGGTTTCATCAAAGACAGACTGCAGGGTTGTTACAGGTTGAAGGAGATGAAGTAGGGGGAGGCACAGGCATAAATGTAATATGAGGTCCTGGCCTGGATTATGTTCTAGAAAGGGCATCACCAAGGACTTGGAAATTGGACTAAGTCCACCACTGCACCATAATACTGTTCCATACATACCTCCCACCGCGTTACAGCGAGACGTCATTTCCCAGAGCACCAGAGCCATGGAGTAGACATCCGTCTGCTTAAAGGACTCCACGTTCTCCAAATTCATCCTGGACTCTAGGACTTCTGGGGCCATGTACCTTGCAGTTCCCACCTAAAGCAAAACCGGACATTGAGGCCCATCACTTAATTCCAGCTGCATTTTTATTTTCAAAATATAGCTGGTGTTTGTCCCCTACCTGTGCAGATGATCTTTTAAAAAGTACACTGCTCTTTTAAAGGAGACCAGAACCGAAAGGTACAGCTTGTGTAATTAATTTTAAAAACAGGTGTTCTCTCTCTGAAAGTCCTTTAAAAGTATAAACTAAGCATGCCAAAATAAGGAAATGCCAAACTCCAGAGCTGCCTTATCTAGCTCGTGACATATATCACCATGTTATACAGTAACATCCTCGCAGGTAACCTGGGAGACAGCATCTGTGATTCTTTAGATGTTTATTTTTGCCTTCCCAAATTAAATATTTTCTCATTCCTGAAACTCCAAGATTTAGGCTGAAAACTATAATTGCCTTTAGTTTCAGTCCCTTCAAGGCTGTCTCAATCTTCTTTGTTTACTCCGTGGTAAACAAAGTGTGCCGGGGATGTAATATAATTTCATAAAATCTCTGCTGAATGAAATTTTTTGTAAGTCTCTCCAAAGTACAAGATCATTTTATAATTTTGACGGGCATGCTGTGTAGTTTTATTTTGATGATGACTGATGACTTAATACATCTGGATACATGGAAACAAAGGAGAAAGGTGCTTGTAGGGAAGGCCTCACTTAAGTGTTTGAGTGGCAGCATATATCCTTTGACTAAACAACAATGAAGACCTACCTTCTCAAGGACCCAAAGAAGGTCAACAGATATTATTACCCTAGGGGATGTTTTTATTGGCATGTATAAGAAGAAATGCTTCTTTTTAACAGGTCTGCATGATTCATTATCCTGGCACATTAATCTATCCGTGTTTCAACATGCTTACTTCAACCCTGCTGTGCAGCCAGGGGACCAGCAGGCAGCTGAGCAGGAAACCCAAAGCTTCAGAAGCACGTCCCTGCGCCTGGGTAGAGGGGGCAGCTGTGTGCTCCCGGGAGTCCACTCTAATCTGCAGTCGAGCTTCTCTGTGTGGAACCATGGGGACCCATTGCTCATAAAGAATGGCCTGATAACTTCCAGTTGCTTTCCAATGGCTCCTTAGCCAGAAAATTTCTATTTTAATCAGGGAAATGCTTCAAAGTGGAAGTGTTTGTTCACTCAGTCTGTCACCCATTCAACAAATACTTCTTGGTCCCTTTCACTGTTCAAGGCATCGTGACCAAAGGGATTTGGATTTCAAAGAGAATGCCTTTAGAATGGTAAAAAGAAACCAATATTAATTCCAACAGTACAGAGCAGAAAGGGCCGAGCACGAGCCAAGTGGGGGTAAATCTAAAGATAAAGCACTACCAGTGTTCGAAACAAAGAAAAGTATTTTGCAAATGGAAGATAAATGAGTGTCGACTCAAGGAGAAAACTGCCTGCCCTGGATTGGAAAGGGCCTGAAGAACGTGGAGGAGCAAAGCTGCTCACAGCAAAGGCACACGAGCAGGAGAGAGGGAGCACGCCGAGGCTCAGCTCCCGACTGTGGCTGGACTCCCGAGACAGGCACCCAGTGTGCAGGGCTGTTGGGGACAAGGGGCATGAGCTGCAGGCCAGGAGCAAGAGGCGGGTCCGGGTCTAACTCACCTGCCCGCTGTTGGCCAGGTCGTCCACAGACAGAGTGGGGTCCAGACGCAGGGAGAGCCCGAAGTCACAGAGGCAGCAGGTCAGGTCATTCTTCACGAGGATGTTGGAGCTCTTGAGGTCCCTGTGCACGATGGGCATCTTGGGCCTCCCGCACAGGGTGTGGTCGCTGTGCAGGTGAGCGATGCCGCGAGCCAGGGAGCCGCCCAGCCTGCGCAGGTCCTCCCAGCTGATGACATGGCGCGTCAGGTACTCCTGCAGGTTGCCCTTGGTGTGGAAGGCGGTGATCAGCCAGTATTGCTTCCCCAGCTCTGTCTTCCGCTCCTCGGCTGTCAGGAACTGCAGAATGTTCTCGTGCTTCAGGTTGATGTCCGAGAAAATGTCCTTCTCCGTCTTCCAGGAGGCATACTCCTCGTATGGGAAGATCTTGACGGCCACGGTCTCGAACTGCTCAGAGGTGTTCTGCTTCAGCTTGGCCTTGTAGACCTCGGCAAAGCGCCCTTTCCCCACCAGCGTGTCCAGCTCTATGGGCAGCAGCTCCGTGTTGTGGTTGATGTTGTTGGCACATGTGGAGCTGATGTCGGAGCGGTCGTCTTCCAGAATGATAGCAAGGTGCTCGCTGAACTCCATGAGTTTCCGAGGCTTGCTGTTCTCCCAGGCTGGGCTCAGCTTCTGCTGCCGGTGGATGCGGTAGCAGTAGAAGGTGATGATGACAGCTATGGCGATGCCCAGCGGGGGCAGCAGGCTGATGCCTGTCACTTGGAATATGACTAACAGCAAGTCGGGGCTGTTGGTAGTGTATTCTGTGAGGAAACAAGACAAGGGAGAGGAATTGGTCTGGTAGGGAGGCACGGCAAGGAAGTGGGCATCCAGAGCTTTTAGCACACGTACAGTTTGTGAGTGATACTTTGTGGATTTTTATTCCAGGGATGGGTACTGGGGTGCACCTGCCCAGTCCTCCCTCCCTCTGGCCATCTATTCAAGGTCTCCTATTCTTCCCCAAAACATTAGCCAGCAACTTAGCATGATTTGGACTCAGTCACTGTGACTCCACTCACCAGTGTCCTATCTGTCTATCCTACATTCCTGCCCCTGGCAGACTGAGCACTCCGGGTTGTGCTGGCAGAAAACAGGTCTTCCTCCTTCGTCACTGTGAACAGCACCTAGCAACGTCACTTCCACAGTAAGTGTTGAATGAGTAGATGAAGCATCTGCTCAGTGTTGACTAAGGCCAAGACTTTTCCTCTGCTTTGGGAATACAGAAGGATTGGAAGTCCTGCCTCCCAGAAGCTTGCACACACATTATCTGGTAGAGACAGAGAAATGTCATGGTTCTGCCAGTCTTTGCTGTTGTCTTAACTCCAATGTGTCTTGTCTGATCAACATTCAGACTAACCTTAAACATCAGCCCTGGGCCTGTCGTTGGGGAGAAGGGTCTGCAGAAAGGAGCCAGTTACCTTGCAGCCATCCTATACTTCTCTTTTCAGTGTGTATGCCATTTGTAGTTTCATGGGACAGGAGTACTTACTAGCAACATTAGGAACATTACTATTCAGGTGAGAGAAGTTAAAGAAGGAAATGCAGCCTGTGTCCTAGTTCAGCCTCTGAAGCAGGCCCTGTGGATTGATGGGGGGAGTCCTTAACAGCAGCTATCCCACTATAATGTCTGGCATGTCAGACTGACTCATGTGCTGGCCTGGGTTGGCTCTGGCAAAACAGTTTTCTCTTGGGAAGAAGGACATGGATGGAAATGTTTAGTGAACAGTAGACAGTGAAAGGTTGCTATAGTTAAATGGGAGCTTTGTGCTGGCCTATTTGCAGTGGACAAGAACGCCAGGATTCTGTTGCTCTATAGGTCAATTCACTTTCCCTCAAGGGCACCCATGTAGGGGCAGTTCTCATGATCAGATGCTAGATTCATTCAGTAAACACAGCACAACTGAGTGCCCTCTATGGGCATCCACTACCCTCAGAGAGCTTATGAGCCAGCAGAGGAGTTAGGGTGGGCCTATGAATCCCTAGCAATATGTGGGAATCTGGGATGGGAGGGAAATTGTGCTAGAGTCCTTGTATTGGTGGAGTGTGAGAAAGCTTAGGGAAACAGGAAGGCTCAGAGGCTAGGACTGCCTTTGAGGTGGTCAGTGAAGGATGGGGAAAGGTCAGTGATGGGAAGGATGGTTATGTTAAGAAATAAGAATATATGATGTTCCTGAGGAAGAGCTAGTTCTCCAAACTGACGACTCTACACAGGGAGTAATAAGGAAAAAGGCTGGGTAGTGGCTTGGAACCATGTGTCATGGCAGAGGAGGGAGCTATAATTATTCAGTTGTCTGAGAAGAAAAACGTGATGAGAATACAGTCCAGGTGGAATGGGCATAATAATCTCTTGCAGGGAACCCACTGCCTAAATTGTATTTGGTACCATCACTTAATGACGTACTGGGGGAATAGGCTAGTCCCGTGTCACTGGAGTGTTTAGGCTGAATATGATTTACTACCTGTACTTAAGTGCTAAGTGGAAGGTCCAACTTCCACTGACCACACATTCTACATGAAAACCTTTGGTCTTAAGTCTGTCTGATACAACTAACAACTGGAAAAGTAACCCTACAACATCGGAATTGCAGCAACCGAGAAGACAAAAATTGCTATTTTGAAGGTATGTACATCGATGCATTGAAAATAGTAAGAAAAGGGATACAATTTGGTGACTGATTCTTGAAAACCCAAATTCTCAGTCACATTGGGAGGCTTGGATGAGACAGAGGACAGGTGGGACTAGGGGTGGAAGTGGCGATGGGACAAAGCAATTACAGAAAAGGGCTGGACCTACACAAGAAAAGAAAAAAGCTCTCGTGGAGAAGTGTGCATTACCCGTTCCTGTTTTTCAGCAAAATGTGAGCCTGGAGAGCAAAGGCAGATGAAGTCATTGTTCAGGTACAAGAGCAGAAAACAGCATTCCCTGCCTGTAACTCCACTTCTATTATTCGAAGCATCCCGTCAGTGTGTCTGCTTCCAGGACCACTTGTTGGAAGCACGTGAGATGCCTTGTAATCACAGGTCAGACCATTTTTGGAATCCCTGCGTCTCCCATGAGATCCTAAGCTCTACAGGAGCAGGTCAGTTTTGATCACCACACCACACCCAGCATCTGGCTCAGGATGGGCCACCTTAGGGTGCTCAGCAATGTTTGTCGTAGAAGCTGAGAGAACGATTACTTAGTGGGACAACATCCCTCACATTTTTTATGTTGTAAAGCAAGGGATGGCAAACTATGGCCCAAGGGCCAATGGCTTACTTTTGTACAGCTCTGTAAGATAAGAAAATTTTTTTCACTTCTAAGGTGTTATTAAAAAGAAAAAAAAAAAAAGAAAGAAACTAAGAAGTTCATGCAACAGGGATTATACTAGCCCAGAAAGCCTGAAATATTGATGATCTGGCCCATTACAGAAAAGGTCTGCTGGCCCCTCTTCTACAGTTGTTAATGTAATAACCTGTAATACACTGGCAAAATTTAGAAAGACTTCATTTTGGTCCAGTGTGAATGGTATCTTTCACATATGACACTATCTAACAACAGAACTAGAAAAATTTAAATATTAATGGCATAATTACTTTGCTGTGTCGCCACTTTAAAGAGGGCAAAATGTCCAAATGAACTACTCATTTATCACTGATTATTTCATTTTATGATTCCTGGCCACATATGAGAAGGGTCTTCTTTCCTAATTTATCTTCTTTTTCAGGCTAAGAGAGGCACAGAAACAGAAATCCCCTGGAATTTATGTATGGCATTGATTGAAGATGACTAGAAATCCCCTGCTCCATGTTAGAAACTAGTTTTACTTTCCCAGCCAAGATTCCTGTGCTTCCGTTTTGAAGAGTACAAGTAAAAATTTGGTGGGGAGGGAATTATTGAATAACATATGCCAATCTTGAAACTTCAAAGAGGTGGTAAAAAACCGTAACAATAGCAAAGCAGCTGAAAGGAAGCTTTGGGATTTGACTTTATCTAAGCAGCCACCCACACCCTGTGGCGGACTTAACCCCTGAGCTGCTACTAAAAAAAGTAACAGCTTAGGTGTACATACAAGCTGGCCTCTCCTTCACTCAGAGCCACAGAAAGCATTTCTTTCCACTCCCATTACACAGAAACTCTTCAGTTAAATACATGGTCTGAACCTGCCTGTGCCCTAAGAGTTTTATAAAATGTTTATATTTAATGGACAGAAAAACCTTATGAGGTAGATCCTGCTACTATGATAACTCCATTTTACAGATAAGGTAGCTAAGGGTCAGATGACTTAAGTAATTTCCCAAGATCATAAACTTAGGTGATAGCAAAGCTACTATTTGAAATCAACTCTGTCTGACTTGTGAGGCCTCCCACTCTTAATCCCAAACCAAACTGTCTATAAACTTCACACTGGTGAGAGAAAGTGAAGAACAACTATAAAATCCCTCATCTTGATACAGTTCTTCATTGGGGGCTGGACTATGTGATCTTTTACAGTCATCCATTCAGCAATACTGCGTCTTTAGAGAATGCATTTTCCAGCATTGCAGAGGTGTGTTCCAGAGTTGATTAGTGTCCCTGCAAATATGTATCTTCCCTGCCTGGAAAGAGGAAGCCTTAAGAACGTAACCCTTAAGGAGGAAGAACCCTAAAATCTTTCTTTTTCTCTTCTCAGAGCCTGTCACAGGGCCTAGGACATAGAGGTTCAAGATAGACTTGAACCATTGGAACCTTCCATGAATGGTTCTTGGATGCACAGGTAAAATGTGCTCAAGACTGGACATTCACATTACACTTGTGTGCAACATGGAGTTAGGTTAGGTGTGCCCACTTTCCACAGTAGTACCTGTTTGGGTTTACTTCAACAAATCTGAAGACAATTTTTGCTTTTACAAAAAAAGGCAAAAATAGTGTATGGTGTTTGTTTTGCAGTGTTTATAGAGGCAGTGCACACCGGAGCTGTGAGAGGGGCCCCGCCATGCTCCTTCCCCCCAAACCCCATGCAGCATCTCAGCATGAAGCTCCCGTACTTTGAAGCATGTCTGTGAGCATCTGTACTTTATCACCTTTTAGTTTCTGCAACCATTAGCAAGATATGTCCTGAGGTATCAGAAAAGGCCAAGAGAGGTGACTTTTGGGATTTGGGGACACTCACAATTCTTCCACATAAATGAGTGCCACTTCCTCATTTTATGCCAATTTGGATATAAAAGCTTTCACAGGAACCATTTCATACACTTTAGGAGAGCGAGGAAAACCTGTATGGTTCTGGGGGACATTACTCAGTGAGTCTATGAATTTTAAATGGGCAAAAATTTCATCTTTTTATTTTCTCTTTTACCTAAAATTAAACATTTCCTCGTATTAACCGTACCTATGACACTGTTACCAACAGAAACCACAGATGGCTTCATGCCATAGGACACTCCTCGCAGAAGTCTCAGCATATTGTTTGTACTCCTCTCTTCGATGTTTTAATTTTTGAGATCTGATGCTAGATCTTGTTATTTAAAGGATTACTACAGATGCACTTAATACTATATCACAAATTCATTTTAAAAAATATTTCAAAGTTGCATTCCCATATCATTAATTTTCTTTCAAATCCTGTGTATTATATTTTATACATTTGAAAACATCACTCTGAGAAGGGGTCTGGAGGCATCGCCAAGCTTCTCAGATGCCCTTGGCGCGCACGCGCACACAAAGAACAAAGAGCCCTTGGCAGAGCGGAGGGCCTCAAGCTCTAGTCTCTCTGCCAGGATTTTCTAGAGCAGTGACTTTGAA